TAGGGTGATTCACAATATATTATTCATAATATAATATAATCATCATATATTAGGATGCTTCCGTGTTGAGTGTATATTTACAGTTGTTAAACTACTTGTTGGACTGATTTCTTTATCGTTAGGTAATGATCTCCTTTGTTGCTTTTTGTAGTTTTCAACTTAAAGTCTATTTATCTGATAAAATAGATAAAAATATGTATCTCCTTTATCCTTTATCAGGAGTATGAGTATACTTGCTCACTTTTGGTATCTGTTTGCATGAAATATCTTTTTCCATTCCTTTACTTTCAGTCTCTGCTTGTCTATCAGTGAGGCTAGTCTCTTGTAGGCAGCATATAGTTGGGTCTTGTTTTTAAATCCATTCAGAAGCTTACTTTAAATTGGATAATTTAATCCATTTATATTCAAAATTATTATTGATAAGTGAGGATGTACTCCTGCCATTTGGTTGTTTTCTGGCTGTTTTGTAGATTCTTTTTTCCTCTCTTACTGTTTACCTTTGGTTCAGTGGTTTTCTGTGGTATTAAGCTCTATTTATTTTCTTTTTCTTGTTTGTGTGTCTGTTGTAATTTCTTTTTTCTCCCATAGTTACTGTGGGTTAACGCAGAGTCTTGTAGTTATAACAGACTATTTTAAGCAGAGAATAATTTAAGTTTGGCTGCATAAAAATGCTCCATACTATTTCTCTCCCTCCACAATTTATATTTTCATTGCTTTAATTTACATCTTTATCTATTGCATGTTCCTTAGCCACTAATTGTAGCTCTTATTGACCATTTTGACTTTTACTTTTCATACTAAAAAAATGAAAGATTTACATAGCACCATTACAACACTGGGGTAGAATCAGTTTGATTACGAATGTACCTATTCTGGTTTTTAATTTATTTTTTTAGCTTCCAGTTGTAGCACTCCTTTAAGAATTTCTTGTAAGACTGGTCTAGTGGTAATAAATTCCCCCAGATTTTGCTTCTCTGGGAAGGTCTTCATTTCTCTTTCATTTCTGAAGGATGATAGTCTTGCTAGATATAATAATCTTGGGTAACAGGGTTTTTGTTTTTGTTTTCAGCAATTTGACTATTTCATCCCATTCTCTCCTTGCTTGTGGGGTTTCTGCTGAGAAATCTGCAGAGAGTCTAATGGAGATTCCCTTATATGTGACTTGATGCTTTTGTCTAATAGCTTTTTTCTCTCTTTGTCTTTGATTTTTGACCATTTCATTACAATGTGACCCAGAGAGGATGTTTTTGGGTTGAATCTAATTGGGGATCTTTGTGCTTCCTGGATCTAGATGTTCGTCTCTCCCAAAACTTGTAAACTTTTCAGCTATTATTTTGTCAAATAGGTTTTCTGTGCCTTTGTTTATCTCTGATCCCTCTGGCATTTCTATAGTACATATATTTGTTTGCTTAATGATGTCCCTTAAGTCTCATAGACTTTCTTCATTCCTTTTTTTGAGGTTCATAAACTTATATATTTTTTACTTACAAGTGTTCATCTGACCAAAATTCAACATAACCTTTATGGAACACTTAACAATTGTTTTGTATTTAAAATAACATTTCATTCAAACTGTATATAATTCAGTAAAATTTGTATATAGCAAGCAATGCTTAACACCTGGAAAATCTGTAGAGAAGAGATTTAGACACAAAATAAGAAAAGGAAAAATCTGAGATGTCTCTCACACACACATATGCCTTCATTCTGGCCCATGTACATGTACACACACACACACACACACACACACACCCCTCTGTGTGTTCACACAGACATATTCATTTTCACTCACAAAGTGGCTACAGCATAGACAAAAGAAGATTGTAGGTCCAAAGGAAAATGATTGATTGTTCTAATAAAGAGTCCCTGTAACTCAAAAAGTAATCTTCTGAGGAAATTACTACCTCAAAAATGTTCTTAAGGTAAATTTGAGATCTAAGCCTACAAAACTACTTTTGCAGAATAGCTCCTACAGTCCAATGTGACTTGTGCAAATAGAAGGGATCAGATAAAGCTAGCTTCTGTACTTTCTTAAACAAGGATGCAGGCTGCTTGCTGGTGCCTAAGGGCACTCCCATCATGACGGGTACTGCTGCAGTGCCGTCTTTGCCTCGTCACAAAGGTTCGAATCTCGTGGCTAACTCAGTTTGTGTAGAATATCTATGATGCCCATGCCTCATAATTTATCCTGGCCTTCTTGTGAACATTCTTCTTCATTCCATATGAGGTTTGATATACAAAACATAGCTGGAAGCTTCAGTCTGACATGTGACTGATCCATGTAATATTTGATTTTTTGAAGGATATCATCATTGGTCATTATAAATTCTTTTGCTGTTGTCTCATCCGCTGTGTTGACTAAGATGCACAGTATCTACTCTTTGACCTTAAAGTTATGTTCCCCTTCCAGAACAAGGTGACAGCTTGCATAGTTTATTTTCCATGAGTATTCATTATTTTATCTGTATGAGGCCAGGTCAAGAGGAGATTTCTAAGAAGTCCCAGTGTCTTCATCAGCACATTCAAATCTGAATCTGATAACATCCAGAATATCTGTTCAGTATTCAAGCTTTGTAAAATGTTTGCTTTTATTTTTTGTTCAATCCTGAAATGCCATATTCATTAAAGCCCAAATTCTATTCACTTGTAAAGTAGGATTTTCACTCTGGGTTAATCCACAAAGTAGCCCTACAACTCCGGATTTTAAAATTGGCTCTTTTCTTGGAGAAAATTCAAAAAGATTACATATCGTGGAAGATGCCACCACGAAGATTTCATCTGGTGCGTTTTGTAAAACCTTCATTAAATGTTTTCAGACAATGTGATCCTAGAAACTGTTTTGAAGCTGCTGCACAGATCTTGACAAAGGGTGCAAACATCTGACGGCAGCTAACCGCACCTTGACACTAGACTCAAGCCAGCCACAATTCAGCCCATCGTATTTTTCAGTCTCAGTGCTCTTCTTCTGAATGTCTTCTTCATTTGCTCCAAAAGAGTCATAGAGCTTGAATGCAGCCTGGCAGAGTTCATGGGCATGTTTTAAATCATGATCAAGCCTTTTAATATCAGTGATGGCACTCAATGAGTTGGGATACTAGAAACAGTCAGCAAACATGGCAATGAGGTGAGCAGTTATGCTGGCGATTCTTTGTAACTCAATATCTGGTTCAGTCAGATAGGCAAGTGTCTCAGCTTCTTTGCCTCTCTTCTCTAGTAATCTCTTCTTTCTGCACAAACAAGGCAATGCTTTTAATACAGTTGTTATCTGTCTGAATTGTTCCAGCTGTATGCATGTAAGTTAAACATTTTGCTGATGTAAGCTGTATCTCAGTATACTTAGCCCTCTGTAACATCTTCACAAAAATCTGTGGTAACAATTCTGCATCAACCAAAACATTTACCAGGATTTGGGATGCTTCTGGTAAAACTGAGAAACAGTTCAGTGCTTGCATTTGAACTTTGTAGAACAGTGAGGTTAGTGGCTGAGCAGTGTTCTGAACTACGCCATGGCTAAATAAAATTGTTTGATCATCTGGCCCTTTACAGCAGTGTGAGGCAATCCAACAGATGTATTCCTGGGTGTAGTGGAACCTGCTAAGCAGTGCCATGAGGTGTGGTGTCACTGTGGCATCTGTATACAGTAGCTCCTTTGGAGTGACAGGTCTGGAGAAAATAGTATGCAGGTATTGGAGACAAGCTTCAGTGAACTTCAGGTCTGGGGACAGTAGTTCTTGCAGTAAGGCTGGGATTATACAAGTCAGTAGAGACTTGACATTATTTTCAATACCCATAGCAAGACTTCCCAGCACCACTGCACATTCAGTTTTCAGCTCTGCACTTGAGGTTTGTTGCTGAAGCAAGCACAACAATCTTGAAACAGCTCTGAAAACAATGAGACTGTTTTCTGCTTGCTTCAAGTTACAGAATTTTTTATGTCTCATTTTAGAATCGGACAGCTCAAATTTGTTGCAAAGCCCATCGAAGTTATCTTCCAGAAACTTTAATTCCTGGTCTAAAAGGAAGCTACTATGGATTGGGGTCTCCAGCAAGCACACGATCTCGAGCCTTTGCACCTGGCTGCTCTCATTCTTTTTTATTCTCATTTTCTTTTCTGCCTAGGTTATTTCAAAAGATCTGTCTTAAAGTTTCAGAATTCTTTTTCATTCTTATACTTCTTCTCCTCCTCTTCTTCCTTCTCTTTCAACTTCTTCTTCTTGACAAGGTCTCACTCTGTCACCAAGGCTGGAGTGCAGTGGTATAATCATAACTTACTGCAGCCTTGAACTCCTGGGCTCAAACAATCCTCCTGCCTCAGCTTGCAAATAGCTAGAACTACAGACATAAGCCACCATGCCTGGTGAGACACTGGCTTAAGCACTATGGACAGATAAGCAGCTGTTAAGCAATACATCTTTATATAAAGAAAAAGAAAATAGAATGCCTCTAATTCTACCACCCAGAGATGACCACTTTTAATAACTCAGGATTATGTTGATTCATAGTCTCAGTGTAGAAACTGGCTGGTCAGTGAGGGTGGGAAGACACTTGAACAGGGACCCTCACTCACACAGGACCCTTCCAAGGCTCTGGGAGAATGGGAAGAATCCTGATAAAGTGTTTACATGGTCATATGTCTCCCTTAAAAGATGAAAAAGTAAGATATTTTGTAGTATTACTTTAAAAGGATGCCCTAATTATATAAGCTTTGAGCCCCATAGAACCGGATTCTGCCCCTAAATGAAGGACTTAATTCCAGTTAGCAGAGACATTAGATAAATAATCAAGCTGGAGAAAAAAATGTGAAAGAAGATTATTCCACTTAGGGAAGACACACTACAGGTGAGCATCCTTGGCTCTGAGAAAGTGAAGTTTAAAAAGATGAGATGGTCTTAGTGGGCTACAAGACAAACTTCTTGACGTTGATGTTCAAGGCTAAAAGGTGAATGACTACAGCAGTGACTGATGATATGAATGTGACTTTTTTTTTGGCCATTTTGCAGGACCGGGCGGTTTAATGGCACCTGTACCAGCTCGGTAGACATGGAGCTCTTCCTCCATTACTCCCTCATCCCATCAGTAAGTAAAGGCAGGGGAAGGGTGAGGAGGGCAGGAAAGGGCAGCTGGGCCACTGCCAAACACAGACTCCGAAACAGACCTGAAAGTTCAGGAGAGAGAGATCAGCTGAGTTTTCCTTCCAAAATTTCTTACATAGTATACCAAAAATATGGCAGTAGAAGGCTTTTAAGGACCCAAGAATCAAGCATATGGGCTTTTAGGGAAGTCCAACTGGCTTTTCTGATGAAGTAATGACAGTGCTGAGGTCCGTTGGAAGATGTAAAGTATATTGCAGACAGGGGAGAGCTCATGCAAAGGCTCTGTGGAGGGAGGGAGAAGGCAGAGTGGGAAGAGCTGAGAGGTTCAGCCATGGCTGGACTGGAGAATTGAAGTGGAGAGGTCTGGGGAGGTGGGCAGGGCAGGCCAGATAGAGCCCTATGGGGCTCTGTGTTAAGTGTTGCCTTCATTCTAAGTACAGTGGGAAGTAATGGAAGTGTTTCCATGAAGGTGGTGTGATCAGATTTATACTTTTAAACGATCTCTCTCGTTACAGTGTGGAGATTGAGTTGGAAGTGGGCAAAAGACGAGGCAGGAAGACCAATCTTAGAGTTTAGAATCGGTTTCCAAGCCATTGCGGCTCTCAGCGCCCAGGGGTGCTGAAATATGCTTAAAACATCTCACGGAGACTCAGCTCACTATGCGAAAGACCTTCCCACACTCGAGACTATAGCTAGTCTCAGGAGGCAGGAGGGAGAGAGCTCCCTGTGACTGGAGACAGCAAAGCTCCTTATTAGGATGGCACCATGGGTCATGTACCACGAGAGCTTTCAGAGCTTTTCTAGCTCTGCCGTTTTGAGTCTCTGCAGCTCATAACGCATTTTTGCTTGAGTTCTGATTGCTCCTATCTGTTTTGTCACTTCTTATCATCATCTTCATCATCATGCAGTTAACATTATTGCATATCATCTGTGACCCTCTCACCTGCAGGGATCCAGGTGAGACATGATTTTATCTCATCCTAGATCATGACGTCAACTCCAGAAGTTCAGGAGGTAAAAACAAAAGGACTTGTAATGGGCTGGGTAGGAAGGTTAGGGAGAGGATGAGGTTGAAGATGACTTGGGTTTCTAACTTACACAACTGAAAAGATGATGGCAGCTGCCATTCATTCATTAAGGAAAATTAGAAGAGATCCAGGTTTAAGATAGATAGAAGACTGGCTCATGCCTGTAATCCTAGCACTTTGGGAGGCTGAGGCAGGCAGATCACTTGAGTCTAGGAGTTTGATGGGGAACAAAACCTCATCTCTACAAAAAATACAAAAAATATCTGGGGGTGGTGGCCCAGCGACTCAGGAGGCTGAGGTGGGAGGATCAACTGAGCCTGGGAGTTTGAGGCTGCAGTCAGCCGTGATTGTGCTGTTGCACTCCAGCCTGGGTGACAGAGTGAGACCCTGTCTCAAAGAAAGAGACATACTAAAGTTTTTGATAAAAACTTTGAGCTTTCAATACATTAAAAAGAAATATCAACTGTGTAGTTGGTTATGTAGTTTTGGAGTTCATGGACAAGGTTGGCGCTGGAGATTCATATTTAAGTCTTCTGTGTATTGATGGTCATAAAAACATGGAGATGAGGCTAGGCTTCATTACAATGGCTCACACCTGTAATTCTAGTGCTTTGGGAGGCAGGGGTGGGAGGATCACTTGAGGCCAGGACTTTTGAGACCAGCCTGGGCAACATAAATGAGAGGTCATCAAGGAAGAGAAGATCAGGTAAGAAGATGAGTAGCCCTTGGACTGAGCTATAAGGAACTCGGCATCTAGGGCTGGGGTAAAAAATGATCCAGCAGAGGATACTGAGAAATAATGGGGAAAAATCAGGAAAGCGTGTTTGATGAAGGCCTAGGGAAGAGAGTACTCAAAGAGGAGGGAATGGTCAACACTGTAGAATGCTGCTGAGAGATCAAGCTGGATTTGTACTTCAGGTATACATGGGACCAAGCCACAAAACAATCATAAGTGACTTTTGCCATAGCTTTTTCAGCAGAGTGAAGGGGGTAGAAGTCAGGTTGGGGGATTCAGGAGCCAGTGAGAGGTAAAGGAATGGAGACACAAGTGTAGAAAATTCTCAAGAAGTTTGTGATAAAGGCAGGAGAGAGAAAGAGCATCAGGTTTGTGAGAACATGACTGAATCCATAGGAAAGGAGCAGAGAAGGTTTGCAACCTGGCAGTTAGTACTGCCTTTTGACAGATGAGGAAACCTGAGGTACAGGAAAGTTAAATCTCCCTCTCAACCAGGATGTGAGAGAGACCAAATTTGAACCTGCATCTTTTCAGGGCAACAGAAAAGCTTAGTACAGAACATTCTGTTAGCTCAAGGGTGCATGCAGTCAGCCCTCTGACTCTGGAGTTTGAGGTGTCACTAATGTTCTTTGCACTCTGCTGACCCACACATTTGCTTTCAGGGAGGGCTTAGAGGCCACACTGAGGATGAACATGCCTACTAATTCTCTTATCTTCTCTTTTTATAGCTCTTTATCGTTTTGATCTTGTCCTTCCTCCAAAGACGAGAGCAGCGTAGACAGAGAGATGATACCTCTTACCTCCTGGGGAACCGCTTTGGAATTATCATGTGAGTTGAGTCGTTGGAGCCAACGCCAATTATGAGGTCAGGTAGTTCCTAGGACCCCTGCTCCACCTCTACCTCACTCTGCACAGCCCTGCCCCTCCACGCACCAACCCAACCAAAGCTCTTAGAGTTCAGAATTGGTTTCCAAGCTATGCGGCGCTCACCACCCAGGGCTGCTGAAATATACTTAAAACATCTCATGGAGACCCAGCTCACTATAGAAAAGACCTTCCCACACTTGAGACTATAGCTACCTCAGGAGGCAGGAGGGAGAGAGCTCCCTGTGACTGGTGACAGCAAAGCTTCTTGTTAGGATGGCACCATGGGTCATGCACCACGAGAGCTTTCAGAGCTTTTCTTGCTCTGCCATCTTGAGTCTCTGCAGCTTGTATCACATTTTTCCTTGAGTTCTGATTGCTCCTGTCTGTTTCATCACTTCTTATCATCATCTTCATCATCATGCAGTTAACATTATCGCATACCATCTGTGACCCAAGCACTGAACCATTTGCTTTGCTGAATTTTGATGAATCCTCTTGCCAATCTAGCATGGTAGAAGTTGTTATCCTTGTGCAATGGATGAGAAAACTCATGCTCAGAGAGGTTAAATGACCAGTCCACAGCCACACAGCTAACAAGTAACAAGAGCTTTAGCCCAGATCAGCTTTATATTCTCTTGAATCCCCCAGGGTCATAACCTGAGCAGGCTCAAGCTGTGGACCTGCTGAGATCTCAGCCAAGGACTCTGGAGAAGAGAAACAGATGTCAGAACTGAGGCAAGGGGGGACCTACGCTGCAAGTGAGAGATTCATTCTGGATACCACCCACTGGGGCAGTCTATACTTTTCAAGCTGCCAGGCCTGAGACCCATTGATTGAGGCACAGAAAAAAAACTGAAGCTGGTGGATAAAGACATTCAGTTCTGTCCTGGGCATTTAGCATGTAGGGCAGGCATCCCCAAACTTTTTACACAAAGGGCCAGTTCACTGTCCCTCAGACCATTGGAGGGCCGCCACATACTGTGCTCCTCTCACTGACCACCAATGAAAGAGGTGCCCCTTCCTGAAGTGCGGCGGGGGGCTAGATAAATGGCCTCAGGGGGCCGCATGCGGCCCGCGGGCCATAGTGTGGGGACACCTGATGTAGGGGCTGGCACAGGACTTTATAAGAAGTAGGAGGCCATAGCAATTACATTCAACTGCTTTGAATTACATTGATAATGACACAATTGACTTGCTCCCAGGCTACTTTCCCACCTAAACCCCTGCGTATCTGATAATTTTGGCCCACCATCTTTTCCAAGCAATGACCCCTCACACGTGTGTGGCACTGTGCAGCTCATAAAGCAGTTCATCATTTGCTGTCCACAATGACTAAGATATGGGTAGAGTAGGCGATTCTATCTCTGTTTTAAAGATGAGGAAACTGTGTCTCATATAGCTCTTAAGTACTACAGACTATCTTGATTAGAATTTGATTCAATTCAACAAAATGTGTGTCCACAAACCTGCACTAAGTACATACTCTTTCCAAGGTCCTGTGCTCAGTCCCCACCCTAGGGGAGTATATAGTTTACTAAACAAGTAGAGAGTTAAGGTTATAGGGAAGCAGAGATTCTAAGTCAGAGAGGAAATGATATGACAGAGCTAGACCCTAACTCAAAAGGGTCTGGTGTGGTGGTGCCCACCTGTAGTTCCAGGTACTCAAGAGGCTAAGGTGGGAAGGTCGCTTGAGCTCAGGAGGTTGAGGGTGCAGTGAGCCAAAATTACACCATTGTACTCCAGCCTGGGTGACAGAGGTGTGCTGAACAGGGACATGAACTTAATGCTGAGGGGACACAGATGGGGCAGCCTCACTGGAGGTGGGTGGTCAGGGAGGCTTTGTAGAAGGCGTGCTCCTGCTGAGCCTTAAAGGTGAAGGTCAGCGAGCCAATGAGACTTCCTGCCTGCCGTGCCTGGCTCTCCCTTCCCTCCTGAGTTTTCATGAAGGCCCACTTTAAATGGCCCTTTTCATTCAAAGAGCCTTTTTTTCTTCTCCCAAATACAACTGCTTCCTCTGACCTATACAGAGCTGTCTTGGTTAGAAGAAATAGTATTCATGCAAGCTTGTTTACATTAAAGGAAGATTTTTTTTTTTTCTTTGAGACAAAGTCTAGCTTTGTCACCCAGGCTGGAGTATAATGATACAATTTTGGTTCACTGCAGCCTCAACCTTCTGGGCTCAAGCAATCATCCCAGCTTAGCCTCCCAAGTATCTGGGACTACAGGTGGGTGCCACCACACCTGGCTAATTTTTGTGTGTTTGTAGAAACAGGGTTTCACCAAGTTGCCCAGGCTGGTCTCAGGCTCCTGGTTTCAAGACGTTCATTTGCCTTGGCTTCCCAAAGTGCTGGGATCACAGATGTGAGCCACTGCACCTGGCAAAAAAGGATTTTTTTTTTTTTTAAACAAATTTAGAGGTCTCACATAAACCTAGGTAATAGGCCTCATGGAAACTGGATCTCTTGAGATGGGAATCTGGGAGACTGATTTTCTTCTCGCTCTGCCCCTCTGTGTCACTGGTGCCTCCTCAGCACCGTTCTGCCGGTTTCCTCGCCGACTTAGAATCTCTGCTTCCCTATAGCCTTGGCTCTCCTCTGATATTGACTCTGATCCCAACTTCTTATGACTTTCCAGACAAGGACTTTAACAGCTAACTCATTCCTGTCCTTAGGGTCATAGATTCAAAATGTAAGACAAGACATCTGATCAGCCCATTCAAAGACAGGCCCATAGTCCAGTCAACCGCAGCTAGGAAGGCATGATAATTTAGGGGAGGCAAAAGTTTATCTCTAGGCTCTTAGTTTTTTCAGCTGGGCCTGAGAATTATAATGTAAGTTTTATGTGACACAGGAGCCCTTATAAGGAAATGAAGACCTAAATACGCAGTTAGAGTTGAATATGTACACATCGAATTGGACAAAGGATAGTTAAGTTGTGAAAAAGTAACTAAATTGTGCAGGGAGACTAGAAGGCAAGAGTTATTTAAATAATGTCTGTACCAAATTCTCTTGGTCTCAACTTCCTGTCCCTGATGATAAGAATGTTATTTTCCTTCTGTACAGGGAGAGCATTTTTTTACATAGAAATTTCATCTCCTGTTTTTAAGAAATAGCATGAAGGTCAGAATGATCTTCTACCTGCTGTTTTTTAAGTGTGTTTAACTCAAAACAGTTGATAAGCCAGAGTGGCCTATTTTAGGGTGGCCTATTACTTCTTCAAGCACAGACATAGCAAATGACACCTGTACCTAGACCCTCATCAGGCATATTGGAAGGAAGAATTCTCATAGAATATGGCTGGGTGAGGGCAGGCTTCCTCTAATCTGTCTCGGACACATACTCCTTGTTTTGGTCCTTGAGTCATTCTGTCTGTGTCTCTTATAGATGAAACGCATCCCATTTTGCCTTCATGCCTTCTGGCGTCCTTACTTGTATCCCCTGCTAGTCTTGGAGCTCCTCCAGAGCAAGAGTTTTGTCATCCTCACTTCAGTACCCTGAATCCATGCTTAGCCCTAGGCCTGGCACAGAGGGCCCTGTGAAATGTCAGTTGCAATGAGCAGCTGACTATTCAATAATCCCTCCTCAGGGTGGGGTCACTACTTTGGTGATGATCTGTGGGAATGTCTCAGAGCCACCTTCTGGCCTCACACACTGTTTCTGTTGTTTGCAGGCCTCTGGACTTCGTGGGCACTTTCAGTAACCGATGGTCCTATGGAATCGCCTTTGGGGCCACAGCCAATAAGGTCATGTTTTTGTTCTCAGAAGGCTACCAGCCCCTGCAGATCCCACAGTGGGCCCAAGGTACTAGGGCTGCCTCATACCTGCTAGAAACTGCATCATGGAAATTCTTGCTCTCAGAGACCACGTGGCCCGTGCTCTCTGGGATCAGGTCATAAACTTTGTGAACGATCATGTTGTTGCCAGCCTGTCACTTGCCCAAGGTCAACACCTAGCCCACAGATCTTCAAAGCTTCTTTGTGGGGACCTGCCCAGTTAGATTCAGAGGTTCTTTAGACATGATGTACCAAGTCTCAGGAAGTAGGTTCTTCCTCACCTACTTGCCAAAAGCTTTCCTGTGTCGTAGCCATGGCTGCCTTCTTGATGTTGATGAGCCCTATTCCTCCTTAAAGATCAATGCTTATGTTTTTGGCCATTAGTCTGAGGGCTCATCTTTTCCCATGCCTCATGCTCCATCTGAAGGAGTAACTCTAAGCTACAAGTTCACTTTTCCCTTATACAATCATTCTAAAACCTCTCTGTTTAGTACAGTTCCCTCTCATGGGCTCCAAGCCTAAATCAAATGCCTACTAACAGGTCATTAGTCTTTCAGAAAATGCAAATTAAAACCAAAATGATATATCATTACACACCTCTTAGAAGTACACAGTTTCAGTTGTTTTGCAAATGTTTACATTAATGAAACCATTACCACAATCAGGATAAGGAATCCCACAGATTTCCTGGTTCCCCTTTGTAATCTCCTCTTTCCTCTCCTCTTCTGTCACTGCCCTCATTTACAAGCAACAAGTAATCTACTAACTTTGCATTTTCCAGAATTTTGTATAAATGGAATCATACAGGATGTACTTTTTTTTGGAGTCTGGCTTCTTTCAGTCAGCATAGCTATTCTGAGATTCATACATATGTAACGTGTGTTACTAGCTTATTCTTTTCCTTGCTGAGTAGTATTCCACTATATAAATCAACTACAGTTTGTTTATCCATTCACCTCTTGAGTAATATCCGATTTATTTCTCCTTTTGGCCATTGTAAGTAACACTGCTGTGAACGTTTGTGTATGTGTCTTTTCATGTACCCATGCTTCAATTTTCCTTGGGTAAATACCTATGAGTAGAATGGCTGGATTACACAGATCATATAGTAGATCATACTTTTAAAGAAACTGTCAAACTGCTTTTTAAAGTGATTATACCACTTTAGATTATCCCCATCAGTATGACAGTTCCAGTTTCTCCAACACTGGTACAGTCCATTTTTTAAGTTTTTGGTGGTTCTAAGAAGTATGTTGTGGTTTCTTATTGTGGTTTTAATTTGCATTTTTATAATGACTAATGCTGTTGAGCATATTTTCATGTGCTTATTTGCTATTCCTGTACCTGCTTTGATGAAACATCTATTCAAATCATTTGTCTATTGTCAAAAATTGTTTTTTTTACTTTCTTTTTAGTGAGTTTTCAGAGTTTTAAAAATATATTTTGGTTGTAAGACCATTATTGTACACATGTATGAATTGCAAATATTTTCTCCTAGTCTGTAGTTCAAATTTTCATCCTCCTAACAAACTATTCTGAGAAGCTGACATTAATTTTGATGAAATCCAGTTAACTCTTTTTTTTTCTTTTATGGATCACGCTTATGGTGTCATATAAGAATCTTTTCCTAAGATAAGATCATGTAGATTTTCTCCTGTTTCTTTCCCCAGAGTTTTATAGCCTCAAATTTTGCTTTTAGGGCTGCAATACATTTTGAGCTGTTTTTTTTTTTTTTTTTTTTCACATGTAGTATATAGTAGGAGGTGTGGATTAAAGTTCTTTTATGCCTTTGGATTGCAAAGTATTCTAGCACTATTTGCTGCAAAATTCCGTCCTTTGTCCATTGACATGCCCTTGCACCTTTGTTGAAAAGCAACTGGCCACATATATGTGAGTCTATTCTTAGACTCTCTATTTTCTCCTATTTATCTATTTGTCTATCATTGCACCAACATCATACTGTCTTGATTATTTTAGATTTATAATAAATATTGAAATCAAGTGGTATTAGTCCTTTAGATTCGTTTTTTTCAAAGTTGTTTTTACTATTCTAGGTTCTTTGCATTTCTACATGAATTTTAGAATAAATTTGTCAATGCATACAAATAATGTTGAAATTGAGATTATATCATTTGTACATTTTTAGATCCATTTTAGGAAAATTGTTATTTTAACAATAGTGGGTCTTCTGACCCATAAACACAATATATCTCTCCTTTTATTTAGAGTTTATTAATTTCTTTCAGCAATGTTTTATAGTTTTCAGAGAATAGACCTTTCACATCTTTTGTCAAATTTTTATCTGTTTTTTATTTTTTATTGTTCATTGCTAATAAATAGAAATACAGTTGATTTTTGTATGTTGATCTTATATCTTACAACCTTGCTAAACTCACTTATTAGTTCCAGTAGCCTTTTCTATAGATTGTATAGTATTTTCTACATACTACATCATATCATCTGTGAATAAAGGCAGTAGTTTTATTTTTTCTTTTCCAATCTGGAGGTCTCTTATTTTATTGTTATTGTTTTTCCTAATTGCAGAGGGTAAAACTTTCAAAATAATGCCCAGTACAAGTAATCAGACGAAGCATTCTTCTCTTGTTCTTCATATTAGGGAAAAATCTTGTTTTTTTTTTTAAAGCACTGATTTTGAAGAATTATATTATGATGTGTCTGATTTTCTTGATGTTTCTCATGCCTGGGGTTTGTTGATCTCTGAATTTTGATTTTCCTCAAATTTAGAAAAGTTTTGGGCATGGCGAGGTGGCTCACCCCTATAATCCCAGCACTTTGGGAGGCTGAGGCAGGAGGAATTTTGAGCCCAGGAGTTTGAGACCAGCTTGGGCAACATAGTGAGACTCCACCTCTACAAAAATGAAAATAAAATTAGCTGGGCATGGTGTCATAGGCCTATGTTCCCAGCTACTTGGAAAGCTGAGGCAGGAGGATCACCTGAGCCTGGGTGGTTGACGCTGCAGTGAGTCATGACTGTGCCACTGCATTCCAGCCTGGGCTACACAGCAAGACCCTGTCACACACACACACACACACACACACACACACACACAAAAAAAAAAAAAAAAAAAAAAAAAGAGAGAAGGAAGAAAGGCCACAATGGCTCAAGCCTGTAATCCCAGCACTTTGGGAGGCTGAGGTAGGTGGATCACTTGGGGTCAGGAGTTTGAGACCAGCTTGGCCAACATGGTGAAATGCCACCTCTACCAAACATACAAAAAATTAGCCAGCTGTGGTGGCATGCACCTGTAGTTCTAGCTTCTTGGGAGACCAAAGCAGGAGAATCACTTGAACCCAGTTGCAATCAGCCCAGCCGTGCCACACCACTGCCTTCCAGCCTGGTGACAAAGCAAGACTCCATCTCCAAAAAAAAAAAAAAAAAAAAAAAAAGAGAGAAGGAAGGGAGGATGGGAGGGAGGGAGGGAAGGAGAGATGGAAAAAAGAGTAATTTTGGCCATTAATTTTTTTTCTCTCTTTTTTTTTTTTATTATACTTTAAGTTCTGGGGTAAATGTGCAGATCTGGCAGGATTGTTATATAGGTATACACATGCCATGGTGGCTTGCTGCCTCCATCCCCCTGTTACCTACATTAGGTATTTATCCTAATGTTATCCCTCCCCAACCTCCCACCCCTTGCTGTCACTCCCCTAGCCTCCCAGCCCCCAACAGACCCCAGTGTGTGATGTTTCCCTCCCTATGTCCGTGGGTGCTCATTGTTCAACACTCACTTAAGAGTGAGAACATATGGTGTTTGGTTTTCTATTCTTGTGTCAGTTTGCTGAGAATGGTGGTTTCCAGACTCATCCATGTCCCTGCAAAGGACATGAACTCAGCTTTTTTTATGGCTCCATAGTATTTCATGGTGTATATATACCACATTTTCTTTATCCAGTCTATCATTGATGGGCATTTGGGTTGGTTCCAAGTATTTGCTATTGTAAACAGTGCCACAATGAACATACATGTACATATGTCTTTATAATAGAATGATTTATAATCCTTTTGGTATATACCCAGTAATGGGATTGCTGGGTCAAATGGTATTTCTGTTTCTAGATACTTGAGGAATCACCACACTGTCTTCCACAATGGTGGAACTAATTTACATTCCCACCAACAGTGTAAAAGCATTCCTATTTCTCCACATCCTCTCTGGCATCTGTTGTCTCCAGATTTTTTAATGATTGCCATTCTAACTGGCATGAGATGGTATCTCAATGTGGTTTTGATTTGCATTTCTCTAATGACCAGTGATGATGAGCATTTTTTCGTATGTTTGTTGGCCACATAAATGTCTTATTTTGAGAAGTGCCTGTTCATATCCTTCACCCACTTTTTGATGGGGTTTATTTTTTTCTTGTAAATTTGTTTTAGTTCTTTGTAGATTCTGGATATTAGCCCTTTGTCAGATGGGTAGCTTGCAAAATTTTTTCCCATTCTGTTGGTTGCCAGTTCTCTCTAATGATTGTTTCTTTTGCTGTGCAGAAGCTCTTCAGTTTAATTAGCTCCTATTTGTCTATTTGGCTTTTGTTGCCATTGCTTTTGGTGTTTTAGTCATGAAGTCCTTGCCTATGCCTATGTCCTGAATGGTATTGCCTAAGTTTTCTTCTAGGGTTTTTATGGTGTTAGGTCTTATGTTTAAATTTTTAATCCGTCTGGAGTTAATTTTTGTATAAGGTATAAGAAATGGGTCCAGTTTCAGCTTTCTGCACATGGTTAGCCAGTTTTCCTAACACCATTTATTAAACAGGCAATCCTTTCATTGCTTGTTTTTGTCAGGTTTGTCAAAGATCAGATGGTTGTAGGTGTGTGGCATTACTTCCGAGGCCTCTGTTCTGTTCCATTTGTCTATATCTCTGTTTTAGTACCAGTACCATGCTGTTTTGATTACCTATACTATAGCATTATAGTATAGTTTGAATAATGTGATGCCTCCAGATTTGTTCTTTTTGCTTAGGATTGTCTTGGCTATGCAGACTCTTTTTTGGTTCCATATGAAGTTTAAGGTG